GAAGATGTTGTTGAGATTAGAGAATGTAGGGCCAGATACCAAAAATAGGGACCTCAGGTGAATATATTATGAGCTTCCTAATGAGTGAAGGAAATGAGCTGAGTGAATATGTGCTGGGCCTTGGTAAGTCACAGAAAAGAGTAACTGTAACTTACCTAAGTCTTGCTCCTCTGGAGTTCTTGGGGTGATGGGAGAGTTTGACAGATGTATACATGAAATTCAAAACCAAACCAACCAACGCTGTGAATGCTGGGAATACATCAGAGAACAAGACAACTCCAGTCATCTGTGAAAACTCCCAGAAACAATGCAGATGGACAAGGGACATTGGTAGTGATGGTGATACATGGATGTGTAAAAGTTACCTTTCTGGAGAATGAAGTTGTTCAGGAAAAGAAGTTTCCTAGAGAAGAGTTTTAAGCCAAATCTGGAAGAAGGGGCACCAAGGGCAGAACGTTCCATTGAAGAGATAATTCAGAGGTGAGAGAGGATCAGATGAGGAGAGAAAATCAATACACATACACCTGCATAAACATTCTGCACTGATACCTGTGCAGACTGTAAAGGGTGGAGTTTTTGGACAGTTGATCTGGGACACTTCCAGGAAGAAGTGAGCTGTAAGCTAAAATTAATCGTTGTTTACTCTCTTGGTCTCTCATGCCTCTCCTTGAATTAGCTTTCCAAGTGAAAGAGATTTCTGTTTATCCCCAGGTGATAAGCAATGCCTTCCTCCAGCCACCCTCTGCCTTGATGCTATCCCCCTGCCGCCCAGTCCTTACCTCTGTGGCCCTTAATGCGAATTTTGTGTCCTGGAAGAGTCGTACCAAGTACACCGTTAAACCAGTGAAGATGAGAAAGTCTGGGGGCCGAGATCATACAGGTGCGAGTGAGGTCAAGGGGCTTTAAGCATTAAAGGGGAAAACACAGTAGGTTCCTAGGCCTGTGTATTAGACACCTTGTGGGAGAGACGAATGTCATTAAAAAGCATTTATTGGGCTCCTTCTGTATGTAGCATATGTGTAGGAACGAGAGCATGGGATACTATGAGGTTTGTGCTTCTAAAGATGGTATTGGTAACTGAAAAAAACTGGTCATACGTAGGAAATATTGTGACATTTTTCTTAATACCATTTGAAAATTTACAATTGAAATTGAGCACTATTTACATCGCTCTCTCAGTAAACTTAGTGAATTAAGTAACTTGAAGAGGTAGTTTTGGGAAATTTTATACAATTTCAATATTTAGTATCTTCCCTAACACTTTACATTTTCACTCTTCTTACTGCATTCATTATAATTACATTATTATATGTCTTACTGAGGTTCGTGCAGATGCTCTGCCACCCACCTTGTGCCAGTGTGCTGTGCAAATTTTAATCATTTTCTACTCGTGCCCTAATGTTGGGAATCACTGCCTATTCTCTGTGCTGGGAGTGGAATTAGTTCGAACATGATCACATCCCCACAATGTCCTGACCACAGGCCGGATCCGAGTGCATGGCATTGGTGGGGGCCACAAGCAGCGTTATCGAATGATTGACTTTCTGCGGTTCCGGCCTGAGCAGGAGACCAAGCCAGGACCTTTTGAGGAGAAAGTCGTTGTTGTTCGTTACGATCCCTGCAGGCAAGTTTGGAATGTGGAGCAATGATGGTGTATCTGAATGACTGCTTAGTGCCTTCTCAGAAGACATGAAGCTGCCTAGATGGCCTGCTTACCTGTCCTTCACCCTGAACAGGTCAGCAGATATAGCTCTGGTTGCCGGAGGCAGCCGGAAACGTTGGATCATTGCTACAGAAAACATGAAGGCTGGAGATGTGATCCTTAACTCTGACCACATAGGCCGTATGGCAGGTGAGGGATTGTTGTTAGATGCATGTGGGCAGGGCACTGTGAGCGTTCTAGTGCTGATGAAATTCTGTCTCTTAGTTGCTGCTAAGGAAGGGGATGCACATCCTCTCGGAGCCCTGCCTGTGGGTACCCTCATCAACAACGTGGAGAGTGAGCCAGGCCGAGGGGCCCAGTATATCAGAGCTGCAGGTATGGGGAAAGAGCTGCTTGGGGCTCTGCAATTTGAAAGGCCAACGGGTGCATAAGATCACAATTCCCTGAACCTCTGGGTCTACCTATGGTTCACTGCAAAGAGAAAGAAGTGAAAAACAAGGAAAATGATGAAAATATGTTTATGTTTTGACTTATATCATTGCATGACTCCATCTTCAGTGCACCTACTTCTAAAGGGCAGGGCAAGAGCAGTGTATAGGGTAGCACCCCCCACATAAGTTCCCCTACCTTTTCTTCCTTTGTGGAGGGTGCCAGAGCTATTTCTCCTTTCTCCAGGGACATGTGGTGTGCTGCTGCGGAAGGTGAATGGGACTGCCATCATCCAACTGCCCTCTAAGAGGCAGATGCAGGTGTGTGTGGGGGGGAGGGATAGAGGTGGGAGGGGTCTGCAAAGGAGGAATTTTTGGAATGTATTTTCCTGGTTGGGGATAGCTCCCAGGTGTTTCATGCTACCAGAAACTGGCACTAGGTATGCCTTGTCAGGCTGGAACCAGATTGGAATAGAGAACAATCTTTTTCAGTTACTCAGTTCCAATTGTAGGACCTGAATCTAGGATTCACCTAGTCTGTGCTTTCCATTCTCCCTCTCCTCTCTCATTGAGTCTAAGAAGCCAGCCCCCCAGGAGTCCATAATGGCAGGCTCTCTACCCCACCATGACTTCCATTTGTTCCGTCTATCAGGTACTGGAAACGTGTGTGGCAACAGTGGGCCGCGTATCCAACGCTGACCATAACAAACGGGTCATCGGCAAGGCTGGGCGGAACCGCTGGCTGGGCAAGAGGCCTTCTAGCGGGTTATGGCAACGCAAGGGAGGCTGGGCTGGCCGAAAGATTCGGCCCCTGCCCCCTATGAAGAGTTATGTGAAGCTGCCCTCAGCTGCTGCACAAAGCTGATATCCCTGGACTCTTAATAAAATGACCCCGTATTTTTTGTTATTGGGTGTTTGTTTTTTGTGTGTGTATGTGGGGGGGAGGCGGTACCGACTGAATCACCGAAAAAAAGGAGCGGCCAAGTAGGGGAAAAGGGAAAACGGCAGCGCGGGGCAAACGGGCTGCTTACGCATGCCCCTCCCATTGCTTCCAAACTCCCACCACCAGCTCAGTCCCTTTAGGATGGAGTTGTTATATGCCCTCCAGTCGGTTCCTAGTCATAGCGACCCCTCCTTGGGTTTCCGAGGCAGTATCACTACCGAAGTAGATTGCCCAGTTCCTACTGAAGAGTGGCTGGTGGGTTTGAACCCCGAGACTTCTGGTTAGCAGGCAAGTGCCTTAGGCACTATGCTACCAGAGCTCCCTAATGATGGAGCAGGGGGAATAAATGACCTCCAAAATCTCTTTTAAGTTCTGATAGTGGGAGACAGGGAAAGAACTTCCGGCGACAGGAGAAAGGACAAAAAGGAAGAGGAAAGGGCGGCGCGAAGGAGGAGTGCCGCGCGTCGCCAAGGTGGCGTCGGCGGCTCCGCCCTGGCGCACTCCTCCCAGGGCCCCTCGCTTTCCGCTAGGTCTGGCGGAAATGAATCACAGCTCCAGGCTGGTGGCGGAGCCCCCAGAGGTGGGCAGGCGTCGTCGCTGGCTACGGCCAGGCCCACTCCTGCAGCTGCGGACTAGCGTGCGCCTGCCGTAGCAGAGGCTCAGCCAAAGGGCGCCGGGTCCCCGCGTGCCACGCCCCCTGCCCCTCAGGGGCACGCCCCCTTCCGCCTCGACCCCTTCGGGGGGCCCAATCCTGATACAAATCTCCGTCAGCGCGCCCGCCATCGCCCGCGCCGCGTCCCTAGCTCTGTGAAGGACAGGCTACGCGCCAGGACCCCATCGACTTCTGAGGTGGCCGGAGCTCCGCCGCGGCCCCCTGCCCCTACCTGGGTTATCCTCCGCCCACGCGCCCACCGATTCTCGCGCTCACCCGATCTCGCGCCCCGCTCCATCCTTCGGTGCCTCGGGCTTCCCAAATTTATCCGGCGTGGTACCTCCCTTTCGCACCTTGGCGCGCGCTCTCTGCTTATCGGGTCTTCTACGCTCAGCCACCAAGCCTCGCGCCCCTCACCCGCCAGGTCTCCTGTGCACCCTTTCCTGGGCCTAGCGTCGCCCTCACTGGCCTTGCTGCTGTAGCTCATGCAGTCATAGACACTTCCAGTTCACCAGCCAGCACCCCTCCTCCCAGCCCATCAGGCCTTGCACTCCCCCTCCTCCTCACTAGTTATTTGGGTCTCTTGCCTCTGCCACACGTTTGTTCTTTTACTCCTCAGAGCTAGCGCCCTTTCTCACACACAGTCCACTTACCCCGTGTCTCCTTCCCCATCCCCCCAAACACACTCCTCTGTGCTCCTTACAGCCTCTTCCCAGAACTGCTGTTGTCTGTCCCAAGGCCTTAGGATTCATTTGTAAGTCCAATGCAGCCCTCTTCTCTTCCCCCTCCCACTTCTCCACACCAAACTACCCTGGGCTTCAGGGCCTTGGAGACCCTTTTTTCTTTCCCAAATTTTGTGTTCTCTCAGAACAAACACCCTAGTGTTTCCCTGCTGAGGCCTGGTCCTACCCAGTCTGCAGCAGCCAACTCCTGGCCCCCGCTTTATCCCTCCTTGCCCTGACAGCTGTTGCCACATTTGCTTCCCCAAATCCTGGATGTACTTGATTTTCTAACCTCACCTTTCACTGAGGCTTGCCTGTTCTTTTTTCCTTGTGTGTCCAGGTGCCAGGATGGTTGGGGAACTCCGCTACAGGGAATTCAGGGTACCCCTGGGGCCTGGCCTGCATGCCTACCCTGATGAGCTGGTCCGCCAGAGGGTGGGCCACAACGGGCATCCTGAGTACCAGATCCGATGGCTCATCCTCAGGCGTGGAGATGATGGGGATGGGGGCTCTAATCAAGTGGATTGCAAGGCTGAGCACATCCTGCTGTGGATGTCCAATGATGAGATCTATGCCAACTGCCACAAGATGCTGGGCGAGGATGGTCAGGTCATTGGGCCCTCCCAGGAGTCTTCAGGAGAGACCGGAGCCTTGGACAAATCAGTGCTGGGGGAGATGGAAACCGATGTGAAGTCCCTGATTCAGAGGGCCCTTAGACAGCTGGAGGAGTGCGTGGGCACCATCCCACCTGCCCCTCTGCTTCATACTGTCCATGTGCTTAGTGCCTATGCCAGCATTGAGCCCCTCACTGGAGTCTTCAAAGACCCGAGGGTCCTGGACTTGCTCATGCACATGTTGAGTAGTCCTGATTATCAGATGCGCTGGAGCGCGGGCCGGATGATCCAAGCCCTGGCCTCCCATGATGCTGGTGAGGGCCAGTGTGGGGAGGAAGGGGAAGCAGGAGAGGGGCTGGGTCGGCTCAGGCATTCACAGGACACTGTGGCAGGAGCTTCTGATCTCATCAGTACGTAAATCAATCTGTTGCTTTTCTTTTAGAGTTGGAAGAAAAGGAGGTGGAAAGGGGTGTGTGTGGGCATCTACAGAAAGAGGGAGGGCTGTCTGAATCCTCAGGAACCTCGTGTTAATTAGTTGGCTCTCTGTGCAAAGAGCTTAAGCTATTACATGTTATAAACATGTATATGCACATGTATGTATGCACACAAATATACGGACATACACATGTATATGCATACATATATGTATACGTGCATGTTGTAGTTAGGTGCTGTTGAGTCAATTTTGTTCATAGTGACCCCCAGAGTAGAACTGCCATATAGGGTTTCTTGATTATAATCTTTACAGTCTTTATGGAAGCAGATCCCAGGTTTTTCTCCCATGGAGCCTCTGGGTGGGTTCAGTCTGCTAACCTTTTCAATTAGCATCTGAGCACTTAAACCACTGTGCCACCAGGGTTCCTATATTCGTAAAGATTTACAGCCTTGGAAACCCTGTGGGGCCATCCTGCTCTGTTTGATAGAGTCGTTTTGAGTCAGAATTGACTAAACAGCAGAGGGTGTGGGTATGTGAATAAGATAGTGAATTCTAGTTTTTAAAGCAAGTCACGTCATTCCTAGTATGTGGTGGTAAAAACTAGACAGAATAGAGGCTCTAGGAGAGATGCAGGCAAGGGTGAGGTTAGGGAGCAGTGACTGACTGGAGTGTGGGTTACAGGGACCCGGACCCAGATCCTTCTGTCACTGAGCCAGCAAGAGGCCATCGAAAAGCACCTGGATTTTGACAGCCGCTGTGCTCTGCTGGCGCTTTTTGCTCAGGCCACGCTCTCTGAGCACCCCATGTCTTTTGAAGGCATTCAGGTGCCACAGGTATTCTGTGGGGAACAGGGGCTGGGGAGAACCATGAACAAGATCTAGGGACCAAACCTTGGCATCTGTCTACAGAAGATAGTGTAGGGAGAGGAACTAAAGCTGGACCAAAGTGGACACAGGCCAAAGGTTGTATCCTACAGGTCCCAGGAAGGCTGCTCTTCTCCTTGGTGAAACAGTATTTGCACGTCACCTCTCTCCTGGATCAACTGAATCTGGAACCGGGTGCCCGGAACAACTCTGCCCCTGGGGAGTTAAATGGGGAGAGGAGCCGGCTGGAGCTGGAATTCAGTATGGCCATGGGCACCCTGATCTCAGAGCTGGTGCAGGCCATGCGCTGGGACCAGGCCTTCAGCAGACAGGGGAGCTGGGCACGGCCTTCCTGTTCCATCTTCCAGCCCCACCCAGCAGATGCAGGCCCAGGGCTTGCCCAGGCCCAGCCTGCCCTCAGGAGGTCACGGCGGTTTCGCCCTCGTTCCGAGTTTGCAAGTGGCAATACGTATGGCTTGTATGTGCGAGATATGCTGCAGCCAGGGATGCGAGTACGTATGCTGGACAATTACGAGGAGATCAGTGCCGGGGACGAGGGTGAGTTCCGGCAGAGCAACAGCGGCGTGCCCCCTGTGCAGGTGAGTGTGTGGTGGTCAGACATTGTGGAGACATGGCTGGGGTTTCCATGAAGGAGGCTCTGGCAGGCTACCCAAGAGGTGAAACCCCCCCACACTGGGAACTAGGATGGTAAAAGGGGGTCAGCAGCTGACCCCCTCAGGGAGAGGAGAGAGGCTGAAGTGCTGAGAAAATCTGGGAGGGGCTGTGAAGCCAGGGAGAGATTCATACCCAGGGAGCAGAAACTGGTGTAGCAACCAAGAATCACTCAAAGGTGAAGGTTAGAGAGATGAGGGGCATAAGCCATCAAGGACAGATGAGATGAGAGAACCCTTACCTTCAGGAAAAGGAGGCCTCTGTGCGTGTGTGTGTCCCATATGCTAGTGTTTTATTTTCTGTCCCCCCCCCCCAAACTGGCCACGTGGTCACTCTGTAAGCTCTGTGTCCTCATCATTGGGCCATAGCCATTCTCCCTCAGGCCTTCCCAGGCCCCATTAAGTGAGCCTGCTCCTCCCCTTCTCTTCTTTCCTGTATCCTCTAGGTGCTATGGGAGTCGACAGGCCGCACCTACTGGGTGCACTGGCACATGCTGGAGATCCTGGGCTTTGAAGAAGACATTGAAGACATGGTTGAGGTTGACCAGAGTGCAGGAGTCAGTGGAGCCCTGGGTGTAGGTGAGCCCCAGGAGGAAGCAGGGGTCACCTCTGAGCAGAGGAGCCATCATGGTCTGCCTGGGTGGGCAGTGACATCCCTGTGTCCCCCGACCCGTTTCCACAGCCCTGCCCTCGTGGCGGTGGAAGCCCATGGCAGAGCTCTATGCCGTGCCTTACGCACTGCCCGAGGATGAGGATGCTGAGGAGAGTGAGCACCTGACCCAGGCTGAGTGGTGGGAGCTCCTCTTCTTCATCAAGAAGCTGGATGACCCCGACCATCGGGAGGTCCTCCACATTCTCCAGGAGAACCTGGATGGGGAGGTAAAGCTGACCTGGAGACACATGGAGGCAGGAGGGCTCCTCTGTGATAGAGCACTGGGGAGGCTCAGGGTGGGAAGTGAAGGTCAGCTAGTGCAAGGGACCCCAGAAGAGGGATCTGGAAATGTTCTGAGGTGTTGGGAGGCTGTTT